AAACATTTCCCAACCAAAACGTTTCCCAACCAAAAGAACCTTGGTGGCACAGCAGACTAAAGTGCTGTTAAGTAACACCAGCTGCCTGCAATTACTGCAAGTTCAAATCTCACCAGGCTCAAGGTTGACTCAGCCTTCCATCTTTTCGAGGTAGGTAAAATGAGGACCCGGATTGTGGGGGCAATAAGCTGACTTTGTATAAAAAAGAACACCGCTTGGGGGGGGGGCGAAAGCCCTGCTAAGCAAGTATATACAAAAGTATGAAGGCTATTCCTTAACGCAATGTAAACCGCCCTGAATCTCCAGAGAAGGGCGGCATATAAATTGAACCAATAAATAAATAAATAAATAAAACTTCTCGAGATTTTTTGCAATACCAACACATCTGCAGGGCATCAGGATGAAGAAGACAGCTCTTAGCTTGGTAGGTTTTGAAAAGTAAAGTAGGCTTGGACCCAAATAGTACCTGGATGAGAAATAAGCAGGAAATCTTAGGCCTCTAGGCCAGTAGGTATCCAGAGGAGGGGAAGAACATGAAATGTAATCAGGTTATCATATAACCCCATAATTTATATATTTTGGTTTACACTATTTAGATGACAATCCATCCCAAAGCAGTGACTTTTGTGACATGCAAAGGGATGCAAATACATAATGGCAGTATTTATATTCTAAGACTATTTATTATATAGGTCTCATTTTTTGTCATTATGACAATGCTGTGGCCTGGCCTGGGAAATCCAAATAAATCCAAGAAGAATCCAGTGTCAAGTCATCTTCATATTATTGCCAAGATTATTGTGTGGTTGTGTCTGTGATGTCATCGAGAATTGAGTACAACTCAGGAGAGATCTGACTTTATCCTTCATAAAAATAGATATTTTTCCAGATCTAGAATTCTTTAGAAATGTTGCACTACAATTTTAATGTCCCTTTAAATGGTTGCTATTTTATTCCGCCTGTATACTCATTGTCAAGTTCTGTTTGTTTGCAATTCAAGCCTTGAAATATCCCCAGTATTAGTCTTCAGAAAAATCACACCCTAAATGAGGTTCTGCTGAATTCTTACATAAATCAAATATGTAACATGTAGCTGCCCATCTGTTTGCTTGTTTATAATGCTGCAAGAATTTGGGGGCTCAGTCCTAATAGCATATGGAGTGGGAGCTGCAGTCTGTCCATCCACCCATTTGTTTTGTAGTTCCTCCCTGGAGCTAGTTTTTTTAAAAAAATAAACCATTCTTTCTCCATTGGCATCAATTGGAGCTGGGTTTTTAGTATGTATTTTAATAGAGAGATTGCAGTTGTAAAATGGGAAGGCTGAAATCTCTTTCTATTTGTGCAAATCTCAAACAGAATTGAGCCCCTGGACACTTCATACTAACATAAACAAATGGAAGGGCAGCTGCACATGATGGATTTACTGTGTCATACTGTTTTGTCCTCTGCTCACTCGCTCTCTCTCCAAAATCGGTTTGAAAACCACGCTACTATTTTCTTGTCTCACTGTAGTTCAAGTGGCACTTGTCCCATTTGTGCTGGCTCAGCTTATTCCAAGGTTCCCTAGTGCCTAACAAATCTAAGCCTTTCTTCCCAATACCACTGTCACATCCACGCATTGAGACTTCTCTGCATGCAATTTTCTGACTGTTTCTGGAAGATAAATCCACTTTGGGCATTGGAGGTGGGGGTGGGGAACGGGTTGATGGGAAAGAAAGAAGATTCATCCATATTTATCAAACTCCATCACAGATTTGGCAAATCTGCCTGATCACCCCAGCTATATTTTGCATTATTAAATATTCATACAAGCTAGTTGACAGTGTGGAGTTTGTACATTTTTTGCTCCTGAATCATTTATGTACAATCAGCAGAGGCAGGGGCAGCATTTTTCCTTAGCATCTCGTCTCTCCCACCCAGTATCATGGTAACAATGCAGTCTTTGGACACCATCATTGTTATTAACTGAATTTGTAAAGCAGAACATTTAATAGAGAATGGCTTTGAAAAGTTTTCAAAATGGAACTGTTGAAAGGCTGAAGAACCTTTCAGTAGTGGAGAATTTTCTGGTAAACTCTAAAATGAACCAACCAACCTTCCTTCCTTCCTTCCTTCCTTCCTTCCTTCCTTCCTTCCTCCCTCCCTCCCTCCCTCCCTCCCTCCCTCCTTTCTTTTTCATACAGCTGGTCCTTGACTTATGACCACAATTGAGCCCAAAATTTCTGTTGCTCATTTGTTGAGTTTTGCCCCATTTTACGACTTTTCTTCCCCCAGTTGTAAAGTGAATCACTGCAGTTGTTAAATTAGTAACACAGTTAGTAAATGAATATGGCTTCTCCATTGACTTTATTTGTCAGAAGGTTGCAAAAGGAGGCCACATGACCCCGAGACTCTGCAACCGTCATAAATATGAGTCAGTTGCCAAGTATCTCAATTTTGATTATGTGACCATGGGGATGCTGCAATGGTCATAAGTATGAAAAATAGTCATAAGTCACTTTTTTCAGTGCAGTTGTAACTTTGAATGGTCGCTAAATGAACTGTTATAAGTCAAGAACTAGCTGTACTTATTTTAAGAACTACCTGCTACAGGAATAGAACTATTATCATTCCCATTGTAGACCTCCCAGCTCATATGTTCTCCAGTCCCAAAGAGAACGTAGACAGACAAATTTTAAAGGATTATAATTCCAATTTGATTAATCCATCCCTTGACAGGGGAGTGCCTGTTGGCGAGCCTTAGACAGAGAACTGCAAGCTAATTAGGTAAAGATGGAATAAGTGTATTCCCATTCTGCACCTTTTCTTTCTGAGTATAAAGGGCAAAAAGTATAAAGGGACACGGTGGCTCAGTGGCTAAGATGCTGAGCTTGTCAATCAAAAGGTCGTCAGTTCAGCGGTTCAAATCCCTAGTGCCATGTAACCAGATGAGGTCCCATTACTTGTTCCAGCTTCTGCCAACCTAGCAGTTCGAAAGCACGTAAAAAATGCAAGTAGAAAAATAGGGACCACATTTGGTGGGAAGGTAACAGCGTTCCGTGCGCCTTTGGCATTTAGTCATGCCGGCCACATGACCACAGAGACATCTTCGGACAGTGCTGACTCTTCGGGTTTGAAATGGAGATGAGCAGCACCCCCTAGAGTCGGGAACGACTAGCACATATGTGCGAGGGGAACCTTTAGCTTTATAAAGGGCAAATTCCAATTCTTTCATAAACAATATTTTCTCAAATTTATGGATGGGAATCTGAATTCTCTCCTTTTGTCCATTTTTGAAGTAGGGTTGACAGAGTGGCTATCAAGCTTCAGCATCTATTGTGGGGCAATGTGCCTATAATTATAAATGAGCCTCAGTGGCGCAGTGGTTAGAGGGCAGTACTGCAGGCTACTTCTGCTGACTGCCGGCTGCCTGCAATTTGGCAGTTCGAATCTCACTAGGCTCACGGTTGATTCAGCCTTCCATTCTTCCAAGGTTGGTAAAATGAGGACCCAGATTGTTGGGGGCAATATGCTGACTCTGTAAACCGCTTAGAGAGGGCTATAAAGCACTGTGAAGCGGTGTATAAGTCTAAGTGCTATTGCTATTACACCGTTCCACTTCTGTATGTATCTATTCTATATCATGGCCAAATAATGCTTTTTCCTCCCGGGGAGAACGTATATTTTCACTCTTAAACATTTTTTTTCTTTTGCTGCCCTCCCAGGTGTGTAGGGGCAGAACCAGGCTCCATTAGACACACTGAAATAGGGACAGGGGGATTGGGACCTTGGAGAGATGGGGGCTCAGTGCGAAGTAGGCATATTAAACCCAGAAGAAACTTAATACACCAAGAGTCCAGCTTCAGAATTGTGTAAATCAGTGTTTCTCAAACTTGGCAACTTGAAGATGTCTGGACTTCAAGTTGCCACGGTTAAGAAACAGTGGTATAAATAGTATACCTTTCACAAGCTGTCACATCATAGACATGGATATTATATATGTCATGCCCTCGGGTATGAATTTCCCCCCCTTAGAAAGTGAGGAAATTTTCTGTTTTACACCATGGCATTCTGCATGGCATTTTTGCTTACATATTCAAATTAAGGTGCCTTATTTTTATCGTTATTTCTAACAGCGAGAGGGTCAGAATAAGAACATATTTAGATGACAGGGACAGTGACCGCATACGTATAACTAATATGCCCTATTTTTTTCACTGCTTATTATCACATAGAACACATTTTAAGTGCACTAAGTAATCATACAGTGAAAGGTATTTCATATCACCCCATTCATAACATTTGAGATTTACTGGCATAGGAGATTTTGCTTGTTGTAAATCTCCCTATTTGTCTTTCACTTCCATGTTAGGAAGCCTCACAATTCCCTTAAGAAAGCTTGAGATGCAAAAAACATAAAGATGGATCAGATAAGTCTTTGAAGAAAAAGTTTGGTAAAACTTTGACCGTGGATGAAAGTGGACAAGGAAGAAAAACCTAATAATTTTTTAAAGGCAGAGTAGGTCTAAGCAACATTTATCTGTCTAAGTTCAGTGTAATGCTGCACTACTGGGATTCATAAGCAAAAGATGTTTTATGTTTCTGATGGACCTGTTAGACTTTGCAAAGCGCCAGAGTAGTAAAAACCAGCAAGGAATGCCACAGGAAGTCAGAAGTAGGTTTCTGTTGTAACACATTTATTGCCAGCATCATTTTGGTACAGTCCATTCCTGCATATCTTGCTGATCCTGGGATAACAGAACCTTGGTCTACCAAATAAACCTTTGAGCTAAAATTGGACACTGCCCTGGGTTGAAAGACTAATCTTTTACAAAACCATGTATGTGATGTGCTTACTTAGCAGAAAATATCCATGTAGATCAAGATATCTTTTTTTCAATTTAAAGTGCTGAAAACATTTTCAGGTTTGAAAATCATTGTCATTCTCAGTTTTGGTATCTTTTCCTCAGTTCCAATTATGATATATAACTATCCATCCTCTGTATGGTTTCTTCCCCCAGGTTTCTTGACATCAACAGAATACTGTAAGAGCACCTCCTCCACTTCCTGTGTGCTGATGGGCAAAAGTTCAGAGGTCACCTCATCATGAAAAATGGGACAATCCACTTTCTCAGTATGGGTTCATCCCTACAAATCAGGGCCCATCTCATCTGTATTTCCTCTTGTGCCGGCACATTGGATGCAGAGGCTACTGAAACAAGCATCTTTGTGTTGTATGTATGAAATTAACTTTTCTTCCCTCTGCCCAAAGCAAATATATCTATTTATAGTTTATGTTGTGTATTTTTGACTTGAAATGCACTTTTCGGTAGACTTTATTTCCTCCCATGTCAACAGAAGATTTGCATCTTGGTACCCAGGAATCAACAGGCCTTTCAGCTCTGGAGGAATGATGGCCTCTTTGAGACATATGGGTGTAACAGACTGAGATACTTGCTAAATGTCTGGGATGCTACGCTATATAAAAAAACATTCTCTTGGACCTCTTCCTTTCCGTTGTTTCTCCTCCTCTGATCCCAAGAAGATGAGATGGTGCTAAACGATTTACAATTGGATCTTCACTGCTGTGGGTATAGAGGGAAGTATTCATTAAAAGGACTGGCCATATTCCATACAAGGCACTCTTCATAAAGGAGTAAAATGAAATAACCAGGTTAAAAAAGCCTGGACAAAAATGTATCGAATCGCAATCTCCCCCATTTGTGTCTTAGCATCTTAATTAAGTCCTCTTTCTCATGGTATCAGCCCCATCCCCGATTGAGAATTTCTGAGCCACTTGTTTTTGTAAGTCATAGACTGAAAAAAGGCACCTAAAGTAGATTTCTTCTTGATTATGGTATTTCATGGAACATTGATCCCTTAAAGACATATTACTGTATATAGGGATCAAAATCAAAATTGTACCCAAGTAGCAATTTCTCCCACTATAAATTTAGTATCATTATGAACAAGAACTATAGATTAATGGCTGTCATAATCTACCATTATCAGCATGGATATTGGTAAAGCCCAGTTGTGATTGACAGTTCAGAGAAAAATACACAGATCCAAGTAGAACTTTTTCTTCCAGGCTCAGCCCCATCCCTCAACCCCTGGGTCCTAAAAATAATTAAAAGACTCTGGAGACTACTAGATCATAGTGATCAATGACTTGAAAATTAGTTCTATAAAAACAACTCCGCATTGCTTGTGCACGCCCATATGTAAATATGAAAAGTCTTGGATTCATTCTCATGCCAATCTTATTTTTCGTTACAGTGTAAATTGAATCTTTTGTTTCAAGAACTTTTTCCTGTGTAATAAATTTCCACAATTTGTGATGTCAAAAAAAATGTAAGGAAATAAAATTCTAACTTTATTAATCAAAGTGGTCTCTAACCTTCCTGTTTTCACAGTTGCACAGCTTCTTTTGCAAAGATGCTGAGTGGCAATAACTACTATACCCGGAGATCTATTTAGTAGGAGGTTTAAGGAGGTGCGAACATTCAGCAGATCTTCAAAAATTATCAAAGCAAAATATGCAATTCCTGGAGGAGGAATCCCATATGTATGGAAATATGCAAAGATTTGTTCTGAGACACAAACATAAAAATAAAATGGAACACAACAAGATTCCAGGATTATATTTCAAGGAATTGCCTAAAAGGTTTTGGATATAATACGCTAGCAGCAAAATACAATTGTTTAGGATAATTCAATGGACATCTTTGTGATAACTATGCAGACCTTTGAAAAAGTGGATGCTCCAATGGGGTATTCATAGATTCCTGGTCACCAGTATGAGGAATGGGTTCAAATCTGTTCTGCTTCTAGACAGGCAACCGTCTCCGGGATGGGTCTGTGCTGAGATGAACCTAGTCTGGGGGTGCTTTTCCCCTCCCTCAAAAGCAACTGGCCTGATTTTCTTTTCCTTGAGGAAAAAGAACAAAACATTTCATTTCTCATCCAAGAAACTTCATCAGTTATTTGGGTGGGGGGGGAATGGAAGGATAGATACTGACAGTTGAGACTGGATGTTGGGGGAATGGAAGATAGGCTTTGATTAGATGGTGGTGGTGGGGGGAGATGGAAGGATTGTATTTCTTTGCATTCATCTGGTCGTTAGTACACTCTTGCCTTCAGGGTCACCAGTGTCAAAGTGCAAATGGAAGTGAAATCTTGGAACTACTGCAAGGGGTATAGACTGGATATAGTCTATGCTGAGGGCTGCTCAGCATTAACATAATTGACTTTTAACCCTCTTTCAAATCATGATCCTCTCTATCTGAAATGTGTTTGGGAATGATGAAAGTGGCCCAATACTTGGATGGTATCAAATTGGCAAAAACTCTTCTAATTCCTATCTTGATAGTAAAATGGAAAAATCCCACCCCACCCCACCCCCAACAGCATACTAAAATAAAAAAAGAGAAATGATTCCTGATCTCAAACAAGAAGAATGGGGCCAGTCAAGTTACCTTATTAAAAATACACCGTTGATTTATTACAAGTGCTTCCAACCTACTGCCTCCATATGGATCTCACTGCAATTCACATCAGTCAATGAAGATTATGTCTTTTAATGTATTTCTAGACTAGCCTAAGGTATCCTATGTAAGTGGATGCAAAGCAAGATAATGACAAGTTTGGGAACCTTTATTGCTCTGTTGTAAATATTTTTGACAAGGTATGTCTTTAGACAGAGAGCCATTAAGGCCTGGGAAGTGCAGAGAGTTTTTAGCTCTCTTAACATGAGTAGTTATCAAGCTGATAGCAGGAACTATTCAGAGGCAGAAACATGAAAGTAGTTCAAAGCAGTCCAAAGATCTAGAATGAGTCAGTTCTACAAACCAGTCTAAGAGTCAAATTGAAGGTCTGAACAAGCAGGCAATGGAGCAAAGGGGACTTGAAAAAGGCTGCCACAAGAACATGGGTCCGAAGCAGGATAGTGTGTTAAAACCAAAATTGGAATGCTGCATCCAATTTTGGTTGCCACAATGTAAAAAACCTGGGAACATACAAAGATCCAGGTCTATAGAGCCTGTGTCCTGAGCACACTCTTGTACTGCAGTGAGTCTTAGACCCTTTATGCACGGCATGAGAGAAAGTTGAACACCTTTCATATGCGCTGTCTCTAATGTATTCTTGGCATTACCTAGCATAACAAAGTTCCAAATAGCGTAGTCTTGGAACGTGCTGGAATTTCTAGCATGTATACACTATTCAATACACTATTGAAACAGGCTTGGGCATGTCGTGAGAATGGCTGATGGTAGGATTCTGAAAGATCTCCTGTATCGAGAATTAGTGCAGGGAAAGCGCCTTAGAGGGAGACTACAGCTGTGATATAAGGATATTTGCAAGAGGGATCTAAAGGCCTTGGGAATAGACATTAACAACTGGGAAACCTTGATCTCTGATCGTTCAGCTTGGAGGCTAAAGACGCAGCATGGCCTTCTCCAATTCGAAGAGACACTTGTTCGGCAGGCTGAGGCAAAGAGGCAGTCCCGGAACCAGTGAAATCTGGGGGCTGGGCAGGGGACAGAATGTATCTGCCCTCAGTGTGGAAGGAATTGCCACTCTCGAATTGGCCTTTTTAGTCACACCAGATGCTGTTTTAGGACCTCTTTCCAGAGCATGATACCATAGTCTCTTGAGACTGAAGGTTGCCAATGATGAATGTAACAAAGATGTTGAGAGTCTAGAAAGAATACAGAGAAGATCATCAAAGATGATTAGGGGACTGGAGACTAAAACATATAAAGGACAGTTGTTGGAATTGGGTACGCCTAGTTTAATGAAAAAAAGAACTAGGAGTGACATGATAGCAGTGTTCCAATATCTAAGGGGTTGCCATAAAGAAGAGCTATTCTTCAACCTATTCTCCAAAGCACCAGAAAGCAGGACAAGAAGCAATGGATGGAAACTAATCAAGGAGAGAAGCATCCTAAAACTAAGGAGAAATTTCCTGACAGAAGAATCAATAGAACGACTTATCTCCAAAAGTTACGTGTGCTCCAACACTGGAAGTTTTTAAGAAGAGATTGGCAACCATTTGTCTGAAATGGTATAGGGTTGCCTGAGCAGGGAATTGGACTAGAAGACCTCCAAAGTCCCTTCCAACTCTGTTATTTTGCTCTTATTCTGTTATTCAGTTGTTTAGAATGGATGGGCAGAGGGCTAGATGGTGCTCATGTGCAGCCCCAGTTACGAGCATAGCTTCAGTCAGAAGCTATTTTTTTCTCAAGGAGAAAAGCTGACTGCTTCTGCTCTGCCCTCCATAGCTGTTGGCTTGTTCTTGGGTGAGGCACCCTGCCAGAATCTGACCCCTCTGAGTCATCCCCCACCTGCTCAGTCTCATTGCTTCTTGAGCTGCCTCAGGTGTCTGTGCGCCTGCCAGCACCTCAGGCTCACAGTCCGTCTGGCCTGTCTCTCAGCCTCTGACTCAGAAGAGACTGTCATAAAAGGGCAACACCGTCCAAGGCAGTTCCCATAAAAGGCATAAAACATTGATAAACCCAAACATTGCAAAGTTAAAACGCTTCTCCAAAATGCTAAAATCTCATTTACAAACAAAACCCCAGACAGACCTTTTCAGATGCATTCAGGGGAAAGCTTGAGAGAGGAGCTGAACATTTTGTGCTTTCTTAAAAAGTTGGCATTTACAGCTTAAGAATGGACTCACAGTGGAGGAAATGTTCTCTTTTCCTTTAACAAATGTAATCGTATTCAAGTGAGGACAAGGGGAAAGGGCTCCCGTTCCCAAAGGGAGCTGCTATTTGAGTCCTCACTGCTTGTTTTGGGAAAATACTGAGAACAAAGCTATTTCAGAGGATATTCTTGTAATTTAAGCATGGTGCCTTCGTTTTACCCCTTCTCTATTTTTCAATTGTTTGTGTGTGTTTCCATCAGGAATTAAAATACAGGAGTTGTTAAACAGTTATTATTTATTGTTTTTAACTATACTGTGGATAATTTAATGTTGTCATTTATTTAATTTTTTATTCTTCCCAACTACCAGCAGCCCAGGGTGATTATACTTACTATATCAGTCAATGACAACTATTGATTGGAACAGAATATAAATTAAATTTATTTATTTATTTATTTATTTATTTATTAGTTCGATTTATATGCCGCCCTTCTCCGGAGACTCAGGGCGGCTTACAATGGGTTAAGCAATAGCCTTCATACTTTTGTATATACCTGCTTAATAGGGCTTTCAGCCACCCCTAGGCGGTGTTCTTTTTTATACAAAGTCAGCTTATTGCCCCCACAATCCGGGTCCTCATTTTACCTACCTCGAAAGGATGGAAGGCTGAGTCAACCTTGAGCCTGGTGAGATTTGAACTTGCAGTAATTGCAGGCAGCTGGCAACTAAGTGCTACTTTAACGGCACTTAGTCCATTGCGCCACCAGGCTCGGGTGAATATATGGCATCTAACCAGAGGAGACAAAATCTAGACAATTTATCATTTTGAGCAGCATTCACTCCTATGTGCAACAGGTAAATTATTGACAGATTCTGGTATTTATCCAGACTGAGAGCATACTAATTTTTAAAAATAGAAGAGTCAGTGTCAGATAATTCTTTGTATGGTTCTGTGATGTGAAGAAAGGCATTGAACCCAACAGTGTTTTTTCACCTTAGTCACTTTAACATATATGGATCTCAGGTCTCAGGGTATGCTGGCTGGGGAATTCTGGGACAACAAGCCCATTTTAACATGAGTGAAGTTGAGAAACACTGCAGTAGAGAATGTAAAGAAGCAATTTAATGCTCACCCTGTTGAGGCATGTCAAATGTCAAAAGGTATCCCACCGTTTGTACTAAGCGAGCCTTTGCTTCTCCACCAATTGTGAACATTACAAGCAACTTTTTTCTATGAGAAAAACACATGTCAATCAAATAACACTTTTAATAGGATTCAGCACATGCACATTTAAGTCATGATAAAGGTATTGCTCCATAGTTTCTTATGTAGTGTTTACTTCTGACTTCTAAAAGCATCAGGAATGCTAGCAGCATAATATAAGAATAGAGAGAGATATCCCAACTGCTATTGAAGCAAAGGTGAGACCTCAAGCTACTTGTTTACGTGCAAGGTTTCTAGAAAAAAAATAAGATTATTTATAGAAGTATCCAGCAATCTGCTCACTACTGACCACAAAATAAGACAGGCCTTCTATGTCTTTTTTCTAATGCCCTGGACTTACACTTGTGCAGTCTCAACATGGTGTGCTAAAATCAGAGGTGAGGATTGTTAAGGATATTCTTGGCTCATAACCAATGTTGTGGGTTATTGAGCAGAGTCCCCTTTGAGTAAACGCGTGAAAAGCGACTGGGAGTGGTTGTGAACAATCAATCACAGTTAACAAACAAACACA